AATGTTAGGATAGACAATCCCTACATAACTTGACAAAATAACACCCAGATCCATCCCCAGGGGACCTTGTCACCTGAGATGGCATCGCCCATAATCATTGCTTTAACCTCCACGGCCTGGTTCCTTGCCTTTGAGTACTTCACATCGGCCTGGTCTACGGTTTTTCCTATCTGAGTGTACCTTAGACGGCCTTCCTCAATATGCTTCTGGGCCTCGGCCACCAACTCCTCGATCTTCGCCTGCAGGGCCTGTAGACCCTCCTCTAGATACTTACTGCCGTAGTGCTATTCCGGATCCCATGTTAGGTTACTCATCATTGGCGGAGTACGGTGGAGCCGCGTCCCGTCAACAGTCAGGGTTGACCTTCGGGGGACCGTCATGCACACGGATGGATGTCTCGAGGGGCAGGGCTTTCCATTTAGCTCGATGGAGTGGTTCTGGGCAGTCACACACCAGTAGGTACTGTTCATCTGGACCAGCTCCGTGTGCACCAGTTTCTCAGTAATGGCCACTTCGAACCTAGACAGATTCGTTAGAACATTATATGGACATGTACACAGAATTTCTTTATCAGAATGGGTGCAACATTCACCAGGATACAATGCTCTCCCTGAGACCTCAGCGTATGCAACGCCTTCTATTTTAATAACATGACCCCTTCTCCATACTGGCAGGGAGGTCACTATCCTAGCTTGTTGCAAATGAGGGATGCCTAAAGGTACCAGAAGGCTAAAGAGTATACTGTTACCTGTCCAAACTGGTCTTTGGACTCTCATTGATTCTCTGTTTCCCCATGCTCACGGAGGGGTACTGGGGAGATAGGGTCCCACCACTTCTATAAGGGCTGGATGGACCCGGCCATCAAGGAGATCGGTTACAATTCCTTGTGTGGTGATAGCCAAAGTTTGTCCTGCTCTCCAACAACTTTCCTCCAGTGCCTTTATTTTAGTCCCATTTATTAGCAGGCTGGTGACTTCTTGACCTAGGTATTTTGTTATATCTAATGAGGTGGATACAGAGTTTGACAGATCCTTTAAGCTATCTAGGATCAATCGACTGGCCTTAGTAGTATCCAGTCCTCCCCGGGCATTAGAAATTACAGCGTCAGCCAACCTTGATTCCAGCCGGTCCCGCCTCTCAGCTTGGCGTGCTATGGTATAGGAGTTGCCAACAGAATTACCTGCACCAAACCATCTTGCAAGGGTATCTAGTAATCCCCTCTTCTGTCTAGTTAAGCGCTCACCAATTTGGTTTGTTAGGCTAGTAATGTTTCTACTCATTTGAGGCCTGACCTTTGCACATTGTCTGTTCACTTCCTCTAAAGGAATACGCACCTCGACCTTGTAAGTGTGGAATACCACCGAGGTGAGGACCGGTAGAGCTGGTCCTATCATTATCAGTCCTGGTTTTGGAACAGGGATTTGTTCAGGGCATGACACACAATCGGGTGGTTCCACTCTGTCTCTGATAACCCGGTTAATTGTTACCAGTCAGGTAATTCTA